TCTTCCGTGTCACAGCCAAATCTGGTAAGTGTATTTTAAATATATTTTGGGACGAAACAATAACTTGATTCTGTACATTATTTATTATTATTATTATTATTATGTTTCATTATTATTATAATTATTATTATTATTATTATTATTATTATTATTATCATCATGCGTGACTAAAAACACAAACCGCGGGAAACGTCACCATCACGGGAACGACAAAGCTGTTGGCAGGAGAGAAGGCAGGGCAGCCATTTACGCTGTAAGATGAATGTATACATAACAGTGTTATGTAACATGACATACAGAAATGTGTTAGAGCAGTGTCCACTGGGTAGAATTTACAAGTTAATGCATAATATACAACATTAGATTGACTTATCTCTGGCCACTCCGTGCTGTCCAGTCCGCTCGACACATCACCACTGCTTACAATCTAATGCTCCTCACGCCGACTACCCAAAAACATACATATAAGCCTTGTGTTGTGGGACAAAGGCCGAATGTTTATATACTTCCCACTTTCCCGAGCTTGTAAATAATACACGGGTTATTTATAGAAACAAGCTTGTATGTTTAGATCCGCACCGTGTCCAGCATCCCCGCCGTATAGACGCGTGCGGCGCTGTTTCGGACATCGCGGCTTCCCCTCCGGTTCCGGCGACATAAGCGTCACCAAATGCACGTCAGTGTCCGACTGATTGGATAGTCGGGTGCTAAATTATTAGAGCGACTGTTTTAATAAACTTGCTCACATTCCCTGATATACACGTACATTTTATGGCAGCATATGTGGACTTAGAGCAAATTCGTGGTCTTTTGTAAAAAGGGCATCAAAATTCTGATCTTTGACCCCGTTCCCACGCAGCTGTCTGCCCATGACGAACAACGACTCCCAGATTGACTGGGTGGAGGGCACAGAAGATACAGAGCCCTCCCTCGACCTGTCACTGTCCCCAGACGAATTCCCAGCTCTAAACCCCTGGGATGTGGTGCTCTGCGTGTCTGGCACGCTCATCTCCTGCGAGAATGCGGTGGTGGTGGCGACCATCTTCTACACACCGACGCTGCGCGCGCCCACCTTCCTGCTCATCGGCAGCCTGGCCACAGCGGACCTCCTGGCCGGCCTGGGCCTCATCCTGCACTTCCTGTTTCGCTACTGCGTGCCCTCAGATAGCGTGCAGCTAGCCACCGTCGGCCTGCTGGTGACCTCGTTCAGCGCCTCCGTCTGCAGCCTCCTAGCCATCACAGTGGACCGCTACCTATCGCTGCGGAACGCGCTCACCTACTGTTCGGAGCATACTGTGACGCGCACCCGCCTCATGCTGCTCTTGACGTGGGCCGGCTCGGCCCTGCTCGGTCTGCTGCCTGCCATGGGCTGGAACTGCCTGCAGGGGGCGTCTGCCTGCAGCGTGGTGTGGCCGCTGGCGCGCGCCCACCTGGCGCTGCTCTCCGGGGCGTTCCTGGTGGCGTTCGCTCTCATGCTGCAGCTGTACGCCCGCATCTGCCGGGTGGTGTGCCGTCATGCCCACCAGATCGCCCTCCAACATCACTTCCTGCCCCCGTCATCCTCCTCGCACTACGTGACCACGCGGCGCGGGGTCTCCACGCTGGCACTCATCCTGGGCGTCTTCACCAGCTGCTGGCTGCCCTTCGCCATTTACAGCCTGCTGGGCGACGCCTCGTACCCGCCCCTCTACACCTACGCCACCCTGCTGCCGGCCACATACAATTCGCTGCTCAACCCGCTCATCTACGCCTTCCGGAACCAGGAGATCCAGAAGGTTCTCCTGGCCGCCTGCTGTGGCTGCTTTTCGAACCGGCTTCCATGCCACAATCACCCTCCCAGCGACGTGTAGCGGTGCGTTGGCCCAGGACCAAAGACACTCCAACGTATCTGACTGACTTTTCACCACTGGGGAGTCAGGAGGGAGACGGGCCAGTGGCAGAAGCACCTATGTTGTGCAACTGTGGTCATCCTTTAGTTTTTTTGTGATTCTATGTGATTTTATCAGCACTTTGCACACAGCATGCACCCTGAGCTCAGACCAATCATTCAAAGACAGAGAACTCACCAAGACAACATGTGCCAACTTCAGAACCTCTCCTGAAACACTAGAATTGTAAAAAAAAAAAAAAAAAGATTAATTTATTTTGTTGTTACAAATATGGATAGTGACGTTTCATTTTATACTTCGTTTTAAACGATTGTCCTGAAAATTTAGGGCAAAAAGTGGTGCTGAGATCGACTGGATACGCTGCGCTCCCCCTAGCCGGGCCAAGCCGCTCAGAACCAACCTCGTTCCCCGTTGAATGTGAAGAACTTAGCTAAATACACCACTTTGGAAATTTGTGATTGACATTTTCTGGCGTCAAGGAAGTTCTAGTTTACACTTAATATTGAGTTTGCTGTGATTGTAATCCGTTAAATAAGTTAAGTGATGTTAAATTGAATTTATGCAATGGAAAAGTAAAAAACGTTTTCTGGAAACCAGTAGCGATAAATAAATTAATTTGGAACGCGTTTCTGGCATAATGACGCCCCCTCCTGGTTAGAAACTATTCATGCGGTGATAAGCTGCATGCGTGACAGTAAAATGAAACGGTTGGTCAAATGTGACCGAAACACATCCCTCAACGATAAAGCGTCGTTTTCTTCCATTTCCCCGTAAAATACAAGCGCGCGCACATTGATACGTGTGTATATGTATGTATGTACGTATTTATTGACACACACGTTGGAGGGGGAGCACATAGGTTGTTGGCTTTAAACTCGTGCCTCATTTTGAAGTCAAACCCTGATATTCAGAGGTTGTCCTAAATATATAAAACCATTTGCACTATACTTTGAGATGCATATCATTTGTCGTTGAAATGTACAAATCTGAAACAAATCATTTTAAAAGTGGCCAAAAACATTTTTCTTTATCTTTCAAGACGCGTTTGCACAGTATAGGCTGTAAGCCACTGTGCCAAACGTACAAAGCCGAAGGTTGTGTCGTCTGTGTCGCACAATGTAATGACCTGACCAGAGGCGTTTTAAATGGGAATGTATAATTGTTTACATCAGAAAATAAAATAAAATTTTTATGGAAATAACACTTGTACTTATTTTTGCATAGGATTTTCGAACCACCGGTCTGCTTCCGCATATTCTCAGTAGAACTGAGCATCACCTCCGAATCATGATTTAAATTGTAGGATTACCCCATTAGCTCCTGTTTTGGAAATTAAGGGAAACCCCGTTTGGCATGACTTTGTAATTAATTAAGCGGGTAACTCCAGACATTCACTCGCTGACTGTAGGCCAGGTCGCAGCGGGGAGGGGAAGTGGCACGCGGAATAGTGCGCAAGGCCAGGATGCCCCCGCAACAGGATGCCAGTCCACCCGGGGGGGCATATTCAGAGACATGATCACATGCTCAACTACACATATAATGAGGGATTCAAACCCCCAACCTGAAGGGGTGAGGCAACATTGCTATCATTTCTACTCTAAGTGGAAAACTGAATTGCACAGGAGAAAACTGAGAAGGCACAATGCAATATTTATCATCATTTAGTTGACAGCAAAATCAAATTTGGTAGAGAACTTTGATGAAAACACCAGTGTAATGTATGGTGCCTGGGCACATTTCCTAATTTTAAGTTTGGCCAGTTCAAGGTGGAGAGCCATGGGATTTCCAGGAGGAATGACAACACAGGCAGAAAGTGTTAATTCCACACAGAGAGCAGAGCTGCCATTCAAGGCCCCAACCAGAAAGGCAGGGTTGGGGCCATTCCGGAATGCGTTGATCAATTCCAGTCCAAATCAGGAAATGGAACTGGAGCTCGGATTGGAAAAAAAACTACGGGGAACAGAATTGGAGTTGAATTTGAATTTCAGGGAGATTTAAGTTCCAACTCCAGTTCCATTTCCTGATTTGGACTGTAATTGATCAATGCATTTCGGAATGGCCCCAACCCTGCAGAAAGGCCTCAGGCAGCTGCAGCAGCCAGCGAGGCACCATGAAGCATGGCTTCACCAATCAAAGCTGCTAGTGACTTTACACTAAAAGTCAGAAAGACAAGAACCAACAAACGTACTGCAAATGAATACAAGATCATCATATTAGCTCTGCAATGTCAGACAGTTAAGCGAGGAAACTGAAAGACATCATGAACTGGACCAGCAACACAGAATAACAAATATGATCAAAAGACAGTGGGTGGGGGGGCATTAATTCATTAAAAAAACAGATACATCAGTGACCTAAAGGTCGTTTTTATCCATTTATGAAATCATTTACATAATTCTGTTCAAGATTAGGGTGAAAAATATACTTCAAACAACTAAAACATACTACCTGATTCAAAGTTTGCATGTCTTTCATATACACACACCAATAAACATCATTGGCAATAAGAATTAAGGCACAACATAATCAGCAAAGGCACCAGGAAAAAAAAACATATGAAATAAACACTCGACACCTGACAGGGGGGGGGGGGGATTACCTGATTGGAGATTTGCCACTCTCTTCCGCTCGGTGAGAAGCACCACCAGCCCCTCCACCAACAGCACAAAGGTAAAAATAGGCCCATGAACAGAGAAGATAACCAGAATTTACATTACACATCTCTCAGCCAGCCAGCTTTAGGGGCCGGGGCGTGGGGTTGGAATAGGCTGGGTGGAACCCCCCCCCCCCCAAATCACCACCATCAGTTGCCCAGGCAACAGAACAGGAGTCCTTTAAAAATTAGCTCTATCAAGAATGAAGTATTTGTGCTTTTAATCGTCTAACCACTATTTACTGAAATCTTTCACACCTTGATAAGTAGCCAATTTTAACACGTGGCAGAAGCAGGACCAAGTATGGAAGAGCCATGTCTTTGAAACACTGGACATCCCTAGTTCTGCGTGTGAGCCGCACTGCGGGGCAGAGCACTGCGGGGCAGAGCACTGCGGTCCAGAGGCACTACCATACACAGGTAGCAGCAAACGTAAAAAGGCACACCGGCTATATATAACAGCACTGTAGCTTTCAACATAAGGGTCAGAGCAGAAGGGCTGCATCAGCGCCATTCCACGGATCAAGCACCGGCTCTCAGAATGGCTGCATGGCTTTGGGGGTCACCAGCCCACTGCTTTACTAACACCTTCCCACAAGGCACCCTGCCTTTCTGACTGGTCACCTCACCGGCCCAGATCATAAATAACGGCCTCAGGTACGAGCAGTAGTTTGATTCTTAATAATAATCATGGCATTTTTTTATTATTATTNTTTTTTTTTTTTTTTTTTTTTTTTTTTTAAAGGGATGAGGACGCAATAAGTGTGTTCCCTGGTTCAGGTTTTGGAGAGCGTGTTTGTTGTTTGCGCCTAAATATGTTGCGAGTGGGTGAACGATAATGTTACGACCATGCATGCGTGTGTGTGCGTCTGAGTGTGCGATTCACTGTGACATCACACTGAAGGCCCAGGTTCTGAATTATTCACTGATTTGGTGTGGAATCGCCAAGCTCAGGTGACAGGGGGGTGATCCGATTTCTGCTGCAGCTGCCAGTTGTGTCTGCGCTGTGTATCTGCGTGGGCGTGTATATGCATGTATGAGAATATATTTTTGTTTATGTGTGTATGTGTGTTTGCCCACTCTCACCGTCATCACACTGCCTCCAAACGCAGCCCGTCAGGTTGAGGGAATCTCCGCTGATGCAGTCCCCGCATCCATCCAGGCGCCCACAGTCATCTGCCACTGAGGAAAGCAAAAGCATTCACTCAGGACGAATGCAGTAAAATTAAAAACGTTATTAAAAATTCGCGGGTGAGGTGGGAACGTTTACGCAGGATGTCTGGATCAGGACAAGCCCCAGTAAACGAGCTGAACTGTGAGACATTCTCAGCTCACCACAAGGAAACATTTAACAGTTTAACATTTTTTTAAATAAATAACAACAGACGACAGATACATGTTTGGCCATCATGCGTCCTGTTCTGTAACAAAAACTGTCAGACTTAAATGACATACAAAGACACATAAAAAGTAACTTCATAATCCTGTTTTAGTTTACTTGCTGGCAAAAATGAAAGACACTCAAATGTAGTACCTGTGGTTTGACAGCGATACGTTTCCATCAAGCCGATCACCAATAAAATCCATAATACTTCCCGTCGTGGAAAACCCATCCTGTCCGAAATAAGCAACCAAAAAATGGAACTGCCTCACCAAAGATGACAAAGTGTGACAGTTCTAAACCTTGAAAGTAATAATTTTTCTTCTTTGTTATAGAAGTAGACTTTAATGAGATGTTGTTTCTTAAGGCGAGCTGCTGTCAGCCCTTTCCTTAGCCTTCTTGTTCATGTGTTGAAAGGGGATGAAAAGTGAGCCCAAGTCTGGCTGTAAAGATACCTGGGAGCCCTTTGAAATGCACCCCGTCGCACCTGCGCGATGCAGCCTCGCCGAGAGGGCTGAGGTCACGTTAGCGTCCTCCGCAGCTCCTGCATGGAAGGCGGATATTGCTGTGAATTATGCTCAAATGAGACTAATACAGACCAAAGCGTATATTTATGCTTATTTATAATCTCACGTTTAATTTTAACCTTTAACTAAAGCATGGCTAGACCTGCTCATTGTTTTATACACATTATTTAGTATCGCAACTAAAACCATGACATTGTGCGTGGCATATTTTGTTCTATTCTAATGGTCTTCATCAAGCTGAAATTTTGCTTGTCATTTAACAATTTTACTCTTCATAGACACACGATGGAGGCAGAGAGTTTTAATGGGAAGTGAGATGGGGAGCGGGGGTGGGGGGGGGTGGCGGTGAGATGAGGGGAGGGAAGCATGAGGGCTTTCCTCGGGTTCTGTGTTTGAAAACATCACCATTTCTGCTCCCACGGAAACCAGAGTGGGGAGGCTGTTACCATGGCAACCGGATTCCGTGCAAAGGGAACGGATGACTCCAGCAGCAAAAGATGCTCAGACACCCAAGACCCAATTTTTTTCTCTTTTATCTTTACATTCCACCAAGTAATATAGGCATATTAACAAAAAAACAGAAAACACGACAAAACAAAATCATGCACCACATGTTTTATCTGAACAATTGTGAACTGAAACCCGATGTTTCATTGTGTCACTTAGTTACTGAGCAGCCAGCCTCGCAACTCTTACTGACCACAGATTGTGTCCATTTCGACACAAATGTCCTAAGCATTTGTGCATCATGTGACATTTGATGTCTAACCCAGTTACAGTTTGCGTCTCCTGCGCCCATCGAAGCCTCCATCCTGAGACAGAGTGCTGCTTGCGGGCAGGAGGACAACGTCAGTGGGTTGTTTGTAGGTAAGCTTTGATCCAGTTCTCGCCTTTAGCTACAGAATACTTTGGGATTTCATATCATTTTTCATCTCCATTGTAAAGACTAGTCTTATGTTTATACCCACGAGTCTGTGATTATATTCATGACTGACATATGCGGTGATGCTGGTGAAACATCACGACTGCAGGCTGCCCTGAGAGTGGCACTGGTGAAACATCACGACTGCAGTCCACTTTTTTGGGGACAGATCCTTGGACACACAGGAAGATGCATATGCAGAATGAGCATTTCATGGTTCTAAGGCTTCCGGCTCCGTTCTCCAACACATATCAGTATTTAAAGCAATAGTGCAAACTCTAGCACATGGGCAAAGTATAGAAAAGGTTTCTCTCCAGGCCGGTCTGTTGCCTAGGCTACCCTGGAGAATACAGATATTGGATGCTATCGTGGGAGTGCTGTGCACTAATGTCACAAAGCTCTGGTGATCTACACATCTCCTGAACTGCAGAAGCTCTCCACCTCATTACAGCACCAGTGTCTCAATGACCATTCATAAAGACAGACGAAGCAGAAGGACTGCAGCACTAAAACCTGGCACAGCATTACACCTGTGAGAGTGGCCTCCCCATGTGTATCCCCCACATCCCCCCTCCAGGTCCTGCTTTGGGCTCTGTGCGCTGCCCCTTTAAGAGTGACACCCTAGAACACCCAGGAATTTTGGGAATCTCGCGTTGGGAGCATTTCCTTTGATGCTCACTACAGCGTGAGACAGACGCTTGCATCTAACGTGGAGGGGGGGGGGGGGGTGATAATTTATTCAGCATCTCACCACCACCCCAGCTGCAGAATTTCTGGAAAGCAGCCAACCCCCCCCCCATCCCCCGCACCCACACCCCTCCAGCACGCATAGAATTTTTCACCTGTCAACATCATCTACGGGACGTGCATCACAAGAGAATCAGAATCAGCTTTATTAAAGACATTAAAGTAAAATTATTGCACCCCATTACACAGAGTAATAACATAGCAGTAACCAACCAGCAGTGTAGAGTATACAGCAGTAAGTGAAACGAGAGATTTGGATACGGTGAAATGGGACCAACCGGCCAGAGGGTCCAGTGCAGAAAATACAGTCCAGATACATGGTGTTAACAGAGTGAGTCATCAGGCGTGACTTAAACTGCCAATGCAAAAGAATCAGAAGAAAGACTCCTGCACAATCACCTTGACTGGCTCTGCAGGCAGACCATAACTTGGTTAAGCGTAATGGCCTTGTCCAGGAGGACTAGTCTCAGGATGCACACTCCTCAGTCCCACGGCCCGGATACGTTCACTGCCAGGTTACCTTCACCCAGTCTATGCTGCCATTACATTTCTTTGCATAAAATGTTTTCTGTTTCTGACCCTCCCTGACAGCTGTGACTCCCCACCAAGCCGCCTTTCCGTTACGTCCACGCTGCAAGGCTCTCGCCATATTCACCTTCGCAGAAACAGCAGTTTTATCTTTAAGTTAAATGCCTCTCCGGTCACATTTCCTCCAAGCTTCCATCGAAGTTGCGTTCAGCGACACGCCCAGGCTTTTCCGTGGTTATGTAATTTTTTGTTGCACCGATTTACAGTTACGGCTTCATCCTGCAGGCTGCACGCTGTGTAACGAACAATGATCCTTGTGCACCTCTTTCTCAAGGTTTTCTAAATAAACTTGTTTATTACTAAACCTTTTTCATTATTGTATATCAGTTAGTGCCAGTTACACTCTGCATGTGTTAAATTGATGTGTAGAATTCTGCGTACAGTGTTTTTGAAGATTCTGAATATGTAGGCTACATAAAAGCTGCGCAATGAATAATACCGACATGACACCAGCAAGAAGGAGCAAAAAGGTATAAACCCACATCTGCCAAAGCCATTCATTCATTCGCTGCTGTTTAGATCGATATCAATCGCACAGAGTAATGATAATTACTAACAATGAAAGAAAAAATTATTCTAATACCACTTAGAATTTATCATAACCCATGATCATATTGTTCCTCTTTGCTTTAAAGGAGAACATTTTTTAAATTCATTTCAAAACGACAGTGTATAAACAACTGTGCAGGTATCTATGTACGTCACGGTTTGCAGGATTAAGTATAGCGTAAAACATTATGTGAAAGCCCGATTAAAATATATAGACCTCTTAGTCAATTCCTCTGTGATCCTAAACGAACGATAAAATTTCAATAGGTACGGTGGTCGCCCTCTTAAGAAGTGTACATGCACCATTTTAAGATGCATACATTCCTCCGACGCCCCCCTGCAAAGATAAGAGTCTCGGGACTACATTGTGGCATCCTGCGGAGGCTATCGGGAACGCGCCCGGCACCGCGCCTTATGTTAGGTAATAGCAAGGCAGACTCACATGTCCTTTGACAAACCGTCTGAGGCAGACAACGTGCGTCACTTTTTAAGGGCTCGAGTAATCGGGTACATCAGAAAATATATTTCGGAACAACTGACATTCCCGCAAGACAAGTTTTTCTCTGAGATTGGTGGTTTAATGTGCGTGACGGCAAAATATTTGTAAATATAACTTTAGAAAACCTTATAACACGTATAGATGGGATATATATGCAGTTAATTGGAATAATAACGAATGTCAACGTTTTTTATAAATCAAGCGAAAGACTGCGTACAATAACTAATTACGTTGGTCACTTATCTATTCTCAGATGACTGCATAGCGCGCAATTTGTGAGAACCGGAACTAAGTTACCTTATATAGCGACTGTGAGGATGAGGTTCGCCCCGCCAGGCAGACGCCTCGCCCACCATCACATTGGCATGCGCGTCCACGTACGCATTGCACTGCGCATCGCCCACGCGCTCACGCTAAAGGGGGGACGGAGGATCCCCGCCGCCGCCAGGCTGCGTCCCGCTTCTGAACGCTTCACAGAATCATTGCGGGGAATCATGGCGGTTTGCATGGGCCATCATGACTTAAAATATGAAACAAAAAAAATGAACGACAACAGCAACAACTATTAATGATGATGATGATGATGGACAATGCACAGTTTTTGTTGCGGTACAGTTATAACCAGACTATTTATTGTGACAATAAAAAGACCAATGCATTCATAGTTCCTTGGATTTACATAAAATATACCTCATATATTATGCACTGGTACTTATACGTGTGTACATTAATTCCTGCTACTATCTAAGATTTCTCCAAATAAAAAATAGACTTAAAACACTTGTTGAATGCTTCTTGAAACGCGTTAAACGGAAAAAGAAAGAAAAAAAACCCAAAACATTTTAAACAGCTGTGTGTGCTAGCGCCGTAATTATGCACCGTAAACTGGATCCATTTGGCTGTTTCAGCACCACGGGAAGCTCCTCACGGCGCTCAGCCAGTGTTTTACTCAACAGACACGGCCTATTATTAAGTTCAGAGTAGTCTATTATTTATAAATGCAAAACTGAATTGTATTGGTTATTAACGCGTGACCTTGTGCCGTTTTTTCACCTTGTATGCCTAGAAGGCACGTAAACGGCTAGTGTAGTTATTTAACTGAAACCGGGGGTGGTCGGTACTGGGGGGTGGCCGTGGAAAGATGATGACGGCAGGCTTTCCCGTTACGTTGTGTGGATGCATATACTGGGCCTATACGAGAAGCCGCAGTGGGAGGGGCGGAATGCTGCGGTATTTTTTATGAATGAAATTTCGACGATGTATAACCTCCGTGTCTCCCAGCAAATCATTGGCTACCTTATGAACAAATCGATGGCGGTCCCCATCGCTGCTGACGTCAAAGCGACTCAGGCTAAGGCGAAACGCACAGACGTCTGAGTCCAAAAATTTAGGAGGTAGCCGGGAATCACGGGAGCTGCGAACACATGCAAGAAGCACCTGGAAGTAGCTGCATAAAATAGCAAAACAGTCACCGAGAAATAGCTACTGCAGCGAAGGAAGGCAGCGCGGTTCCTTTCAGGAATGGGAAACACTTGTCTTTGAAACCTTTTTTTTTTCTTTACTAATTTCACGTCTCGGACCGGGACGGAACCACTTTGTTATAGAGGCTCGGCTTGAATGTTCACTCATTTGGAACGAACGTTTTTCTTCCGTGTCACAGCCAAATCTGGTAAGTGTATTTTAAATATATTTTGGGACGAAACAATAACTTGATTCTGTACATTATTTATTATTATTATT